TGGGCTCCCTCTCCCTCTCCGCTCCAACTCCTCTCCTCCCTCCGGGAGCTGGGGTGAGGGGCACTCGGGTCCTGCCGGGCCGCGGCTTGTATCTTACCCCCTTCGTGAGGTGCTGGGTTCTCGCGGGTGTGGATGTAGTCTGGCCATTGTCCTATGTCTTCTGGTCTCTCTTTTAGGATTAGTTGTATTTGTTGTATTTTCAAAAATATATATGGTTTTGGGAGAAGATTTCCACTGCTCTACTTCTGCCGCCATCTTGGCTCCAGCCCCCTTAATTGCCACATTTTATAAATCAAACTCTATTACCTTTGACTCCTTTTAATTTCAGACAAATTTCCATAATTTTTTATTGACTTTTAACTGGCAAGATTTCTTAACTTGAGTTTTAAATTTCTTTCTTCTTTTGCCAAGTTTTTATATTAATGTTCTATGAGACAATTACAGACCCTAGGGAAGCCCCTATCTTAATCATAACAGAAAAAACTCTTATTTTTTTAACTATTTGTAACATGTTTCACAGTTTTCCTATGATGAATGAACACCTTCAAATAGCTCTTTTCTATTATTAGATTTCTAGATGATTCTTTTAAAGTAGGTTATGAGTAATTCAGGGTGTTGATACACAAGTGTGAGTGTGTGTGTGTGTGTGTGTGTGTGTGTGCGCACACATAATTCTTTCTTAATGTACTGCATATGCTTTACTTCCCCTTTTCTGTTTCTATGCCCAGAGAGGCATTCAGGTCTCAGTGTGTGTCCCGAGGACCAGAGCTGCTGGAATAGTCCCATCTCACGCAACTGTCCTGGCTCCCAGGGCATGACCTGCCCAGTTTACTCAGACATGAGCCCATGCCACTCAGCACTGCCATGAGAGTGGCCTCCTGGGCAGCCAGCCAGACGCTCAGTCCTTCAGGGCACCCCAGCCCCCTGCGGCACTACTGTCTACCCACATGGGCCCCAGCTTGACACGCAAGAGAGGCTCAGCAGGCCCTGGCCTCCTTCCTCACTGCCACCCAGGAGGCAGGTCCTGCCTCTGACCCATCATGCCCTGTAGTCCTCTGACATCCTTCATTGAGTGGCATGGATCACCACTGGCTTCAAACAGATCATTCCTGGCTTCTGGACCAGACTCCCTTTTTTGCTCCCCATTTCAGACCTGCTGAATCAAAATCTTTGGTTGGGGGCCCCAGATTTACATTTTATTGAACTCCTTCATTGGTTTTGTGCCCAAAGTTGGGGTGCTAAGAACTCCCGTGTTGACCACGGGCTGTCCCAAGGCAAGGCAAGGGTTGAGGGTGCACATCTGCCTTTTAGAGGCAAAGGTGATATTATTACCTCACAAAAATGTTTTGGGAGCTAACTAGGTCCTGGGTATTTTGCAAAACCTTAAAAATGTCCAAACACACAACAACAACACAAACAAGTGGGTCACAGTTTGGAAAGCACTCACATCTGTCATGGGGCCCAGACCAGGCGTTCGTAGGCAGAGCTTAGGCCTCCCTCTCCAGGGCCCTGTGCCCCCGCCTGCCTCAGAGCGCAGGCACTGCTGGGAAAGCACTGGCACGTCAGCTGCAGTGGGGCTTCATGCCCGAGAGGCTGGCCTGTGGGGATGTGTGAGCCCTGGGACTGCCTTTCCCTGCAGATCCCCACCCATCCCACCACCCACAGCTATACCTGAGAGCCAGGGGCCCTTCTGTCCCAACAGTCCCACTGGCTCAGGTTCCCCAACAAGACTGGAATGACTGGACAGTGGCCTTCAGAGGGTCTCTGGGGTAGACAGGGTCCCATTCTCAGGAGAGGGAGACATAAGCCTCGGGAAGACAGCAGACTGCTGGGGGAAATGCTGGGCAGGACAGCAGTGACTCCCCGAAAATCTGTCAGAAATGAGTTACCCCCGAAAAAGTAATGAGGTCACTGTTCTCTCCATTTCATGGGGCTGAGGCAAGTCCCACAGAGTAGTGCCAGCAAATCCCTCTCTCCTGTGGACCCTGACCACACCCCCTAAAACCTCTCGTGTCCCATGGTGCTGTCCCCAACCTTGACCCATGGGCCTGTTCCCACCACCTCAGAGGACCCCCCAACTTCTTGTTGCCTGTGTCCCCTGGGGGCAGGGTGGGATGCCTGCAGTGTTCTGCCTGCATGTGCCTGGCACTCACTGACACCATGGGTCCACAGCAGTTTGAGCACAGCACCGACCACAGTAGCAGTCCTGTCTTGATGGCAGACATGAAGCGGGTTTTCTAGTCATGATGTCCCCATTTGCCAGGTCAAACTAAGAAAATGATCAGTCATATTTAATCATGGAAAAGACAGGAAAGTTATCCATCACCTTGTGTACCTCTTTCCAAACTCCCAGCTGAGGCTGGTGTCGTCACTGCAAATGTGCCCAGTGGCCTTGAGGCACCAGGGTTTATGTCCTATGGTGGCACCTTGCAAGCAAGTATTTGTTGATTGAATCTGTTCCCTCCCAAGGAGGCAGAGGGAGCCCTCACAGGGACCCCAAGAGTGCTCACACAGTCCCAGCCCACTTCACGCAGCAAACAAGCCCTGAACACTGAACTCCGCCTTGCTGGACACCGGGAGACAGCAGAGAACAGAATAAGCAGGACCCTACTTCCAGTGTGCGGAGTTCGTGGGAATGGAAAAAGCAACCTAGATGGGGGGCAGTGCATAGAAGGTGGCAAGGGAGCACCCGGCAGAAGGGCGAGCAGACGGTGAGGGAGTGGGGAGCAGGCCAAGACTCTGGGTGACAGCCGTGACAGCTGGCCCCAGTGACTTCCTCTCCTTTCCCACCCGCTTCAACCTCCTAGGAAAGGCCGCAGTTCCACCTCTGACACTTCAGAGGCAGAGTCCCACCTGCCTTGGGCAAGCTCTCTGTCTCCTTGCATCTTTATTCCATATGCTACAGAGGCCTCAGACTCTGGCCCTGAAGCAGGTGAGACACACGGTTCTGGGGCCAGGGCTTGTCCCAGTGTCTGCAGAAGCCCTCCTCCGGATGGAGCCCCTGTCACCAAGACACTGGTAGGCATCCTTCGTGCAGGTGCTTCCCTGGCGTGCGCGCCTGACCCAGTGGCTGAACAGCACACCCCGGCCTCACAGCCTCCAGGCACTGCGTCTGCTCCAGCCCCCACGCTGCCCGGCCACTCACACAGGGCGTCCACCTGAGGGTCCAGGCTTTGCCCTCTGCCCTGGGAAACCCACTTGGCCTGGCACCAAGGCTGGCCCATCCCCACCCTGTGGCCTTTCAGGGTGGCCCAATCCAAGAGAGCCCGTGAGGTCGGCACCCCAGGGGCTGCAGCCACCCCAGGGTCCTTGGCTTGGGGCCCGGGCAGGGCTGCGGGCCGTCCACACCGTTCTAGCTGTATCACTGCTCATACACACCCACGGCCACACTGCCTAAGGCTTGAAGGGTTCAGCCTTGCTATCCCATTTGACTAGTAACCACAGTGTGGCCGCTGATAGCATCTGTTTGACAAGTGACCCGGCACGCTTGGGTGTCTGTCCGGGTGAGCTTGGCGCCCTGGATCCAGTGGGCAGGTTCACCCCTCCAGAGCACCTGAGGCGGGGCCATCAGACGCCAGCCCGCACGCCCACACAGTGTGCTCCCACGTCCTGTGTGCCCCCTTCATGGCTTCAGGGAGAGACTGTCCTCACAAGGAGCCAGCGCCTCTCAGCAGTGGTGGCCGCCGAGCCCTAGCTGTTTAGGGAACCCAGGCACCTCTGAGCCAGCTGCGTGGCGCCCACTGGTGGCCAAATTGTTGATGCTCTCCTACGTGTTTCACAAGCTCTTCCTCATGGATGCGGAGGGGAGACTAGCTGGGCCGTCAGCAGATAGGGCTGCGCCCGCTGTGTCACCCCACATCCGCCTGGGGTTCACCCATGCCAGCTTTCCGCATTAGGGGCAGCATTTAGGACACACGGGACCATCCTTTCTATCAGTCAGTGCTCAGCATAGGAAAAACATGTGAACTTGTTCATACTAGTGTTTTTGAATTAGCATTAAGGATATGCACACCCCTAGGTATGTGCATTTTAAGATTTCAGCACCACTAACCCTCCCCACCCCCGCCGGTAGCTTCTGACCTTGCAGATGAGGAAGGCAGAAGAGGGAATCTCCTGTTCACTACCACAGGGCCCCTGAGGCCTGTCGCCACAGCAGGCCTTTCAGTGGCCATCACCTATCCAGTGGCTATAGTTTAAGACTTCGTGCACTGCCACTGATTCACACCATATTCCCATGTGCCTCCGTATGTGAGGAAACATGGCCTGTATGTTGTCACATCCCATTACAGTTTTTTCTCTTAAGTAAGTTAGCCACCTGCTGGGGGGAAGAGATTTTATCAGGACACTTCCATTGAGGGAGTTCAAGATGTGAGGGGTTGACCTCAACTCAGGGACAAGTACTCCTCCCTGACCTGCAGATGACTCCCCCAGGGAATGTATGAGATGAGTGTGTGCACACACACACACATGCACGCACACACACTGCAGATGTCCTGGGTAGCCCCTGTGCTCTGCAGAGGAGAGCTTGCACACAGTGCCCCCCTGAGTGAAACTGGGCCCAGTATGTGTAGACTTTGGCTGCTCGCCTTTGGAGAGCTAATCTCAGGAAGCCTAATGTAGGATGATCAATCCCTATGAGGAGAGGCATGCTATCTGCTGGTTCCTCTGATCCTGCAAGTGAAGCTGCCAGGCTGGGCTGGGGTCTTATGGTGACTAGGGGCGTGTCATAGGGAATGGCCCCGACAGCATCCTCTCCCAGGAAGGGCACCTCCTGGCCTGCCCCCAGGCCTCCTGTGTGTTCTGGACACTTGTGCCAGGTTTGGGGAAAGAGGGAAAAACAAGGGCTGGAAAAGCTTTCTATCTTAGCTTTGTTTTCTTCCTCTAACCAGTTTTATGAGATTGTGTTTAAAGTTTCCAAATAGGATTATACACTCCTGCCCTGTTAACAACAAGCATTTAGAAACATTAACACATTTGATTTCAATTTTGCATCCCTGTAGAAAGAGAAGAAGAGTGGGCTGCTGAAGCTGCTGGCTGGGGCGTCCACCAAGAAGAAGTCTCGCTCCCCGCCATCCATCTCTCCAACCCACGACCCCCACGGGGCAGTGGGTGCCTCGCTCCAGGGTGCCATGGGGCCTGAGGTGTGCGCCCTGTCCGCCCACGGCAGGGCGGGGTCCTGCCCTGTAGAGAGCGAGATGCAGGGAGCAATGGGCATGGAGCCACTGCACAGGAAGGCGGGTTCCTTGGACCTGAACCTCTGCTCATCTCCATCCCAGCAGGCACCTCTGTCCATGGCTGCCATGCGTCCCGAGCCCAAGCCCCTGTCCAGAGAGAGGTAAGGCGGCCTTCGTCCTTGGGCACCATGGAGTGGGCCGGTCTCTGAGGTCTGCGCCCACATGAGGGAACAGGAACAGTGCAGGTTTTCCAAGGGTCACACACACACACACACTGCACATGAAACCACACACAACACAACATATACAACACAACACAACACACAATCCACACACCACACTACACACATATTCTCCCTCCCTCTGTCCCCATAGGAGCCTCTGTGCCTTCAGCCCTCCATGTCAGATCTTTCTTCCTTGTATGGGGCCCCCATGGCCTCGTTCTCTGCCCGTGGCTCCCTGTTCCTTGTCCCCAGGTCCCTGTTACTCCTCCCCAGGTCACGGTCCCCCCTCCCCAGGTCACAGTCCCCCATTCCCAGGTCACGGTCCCTCCTCCCCAGGTCACAGTCCCCCCTCCCCAGGTCACAGTCCCCCATCCCTAGGTCATGGTTCCCCCTCCCCAGGTCACCATTGGTAATTCCTGAGAACAGCAGACTTCGGATGTGCCTGAACTGCTCCCATGCCTCCCCAGCTGTCTGCTCTCCCAGACCTCTCTACTTCCCAACCCCTTAATGAAAGGTCTCAGGAGATACTGTTCTAGAAATTCATGGTGTCTATGAGTAACTGGAAAATGCTGAGACACTCTCCCTTCTCGCAGCATTCTGTCCAATCGGGGCAGTGGTGCCCAGAGCCACCTGGTGCCCTCCTTGTCCCCAGCACTCTGCCTGCTCATTAGTGACAAGAGTTTCCAGAACACAGTCCAGAAACCAAACTGCTGCCTGGTGACCCCCGAGCACCACCTTCCCTTACCCACAGCCATGGCTGCCCTGTCCCGGGAGCAGAGGCTGGGGTCTGAGGAAGACAAGATGCTTATTCTTGGGGCTTGGGGAGCTCCCAAAAGCACTTGCCTTGAGCCTGCAGGCTTGTGGATAAATCCCAGCCACAGAGGTCCTGTGCGTTCACAGAGTGCCTGCTATGTGCACGGCCCCATTGGACCACGATGGTGGGAGAACTGGTGGAGGGCAGACTGGGATCAGACCATCCTGCGGGGTCCTCTGGTCCTGTGCAGCCTGCGGGTCTTAGGTGTCTCATCTGCACAACCCCTCAGATCCAACCGTTTTCCCTCCTGAGGATTTGGGAAGGTGACAGGAGCTGCTCCCCTGCTGCTCCCTGGGGAAGGAAGTTTGGGATGGATGGTGCTGTAGAGGGGACTTATGCCCCAGCAGGCAGGAGGGACTCTCAGGTGTGTGGGAACCAAGCCAAAGGACTGATGTGTACATGAGAGTGCCAGATAACTCCCTTCCTGGGGAGCCTAGCCCTGGGTCATCCAGATGTAAGCTCACCCTGTGGACAGTGCACAGGAGCCCCACTTCTGGTGGTGGCTGGGGAACTCCTAATAGCAGATGTTTCTAGGGTCAGGTAAAACTGTCCGTGCCCTGTCTCCCCAGCAGGGCCTTGCTGAGCCGGGATGGTCCTGCTGAATTCCTGGGTCAGCAGCTGTGTGCCTGCTTACTGCCTCCTGCACTTTGGCAATGTTGTGGGGAGGCTTTGAGCAAATACAGACACTTGCCACTTATCAGCCATTTCACCCCAAACAGAAGGCTGTTTCTTTGAGTTCCAGTTCCTGCATATATAAAATGGGTATATAACACCTACTTGATAGTTATAGTATTTGTAAAGTGCCTAGATTTTTTTTTTTAATTTTTAATTATGGTATCATTAATCTACAAGTACAGAAAGAACATTATGTTTACTAAGTTCCCCCCTTCATGAAGTCTCCCCCACATACCCCTTCACAGTCACTGTCCATCTGCGTAGTAAGATGCTGTAAAATCACTACTTGTCTTCTCTGTGTTGCACAGCCCTCCCCATGCCCCCCAGGCACTATACATGCTAATTATAATGCCCTCTTTCTTTTTCCCCACCCTTATCCCTCCCTTCCACCCACCCTCCCCAGTCCCTTTCCCTTTGGTAACTATTAGTCCATTCTTGGGTTCGGTGATTCTGCTGCTGTTTTGTTCCTTCAGTTTTCCTTTGTTCTTATACTCCACAGATGAGTGAAGTCATTTGGTACTTGTCTTTCTCCGCCTGGCTTATTTCACTGAGCATAATACCCTCT